GATTCGAGGCACTAAATGAGTTAACCGACGTTAGCGTTCACACAATGAACGATAATCTAACTAGTATCATCAAAGAGTGTGCAATTGAAGAGGGAGGTTCAGTCACTAGACGGGAGACTGCTATCTGGAGACGAAAAACCTTATTAAGAGAAGACAAACGATGAAAGCCTCTAATGAAACCGATCGAACAAAGCTAGTGGAGCTTTCGAAGTTAATCAATAGGCGTAAAGAAGCCGACACCAGGAGGTATAACATAGAAAGAATTGAGCAAACCGTAAAAAGGGGCAAAAACCTAAAAGCTGCGAAAGCAGGCTTGTGCATAGGCAAAAATCAGGTGTATTCATTGAGAAACAAGGCAGGCAATGTCATAACCAATATGAATATAGGACAGTCGAGATAGCGGAGGAGATAGCGGAGGAGCTCTACAGAGAGCTGTACAGAAGTCAATAGAACCAGGATGGTATTGTGAGAAATTGTAGTAGTGCAAGAGAATTCAACATCTTACCAGTAATGACAGGGGAAGTAAGGAAAGCCCCAGAAGGAATGCAAAGAGGCAATGCCGTTGGTGAGGATAACGTAACAACAGACTTCCTGAAAGATGGTGGAGAAATTGCGTCAGAAAAATTAGCCGCGTTATATACAAAGTGTCTCTTGACGGGAAGGGTACCAGAATCTTGAAAGAACACCAACATCATCTTAATCCATATGAAAGGAGACGTCAAGGACTTGAAAAATTGCAGGCCGATCAGCTTACTTTACGTTCTCTACAAACTATTTACAAAAATGATAGCTAATAGAATAAGGACGATATTAGAAATCAATCAGCCATAGGCGAAGCAGTATTTCGTACCGGCTACTCCACAATAGACCATTTGCGTACTATCAATCAGGTAATAGAGAAATGCGCTGAATACAATGAACCCTTATACATAGCTTTTCATAGATTACGAGAAGGCGTTTGACTCAGTCGAGACATCAGCAGTAATGCAGGCACTACTGAATGAGGGCAGCGAAGAACCCTACATAACCATACTGGAAGAAATCTACAGAGGATCCACAGCCACCATAGTTCTCCATAAAGAAAGTGAAAGAATCCCAAAAAAGCGTGTAAGGGCAAGGATACACGATCTTTCTAATGCTTTTTACCGCTTGTTTACAGGAAGTATTCAAGACCCTAGACTGGGAATAGCTGGGAATGAAAGATAATGGAGAGTACCTTAGTAACCTGTGAATCGCTGATAGCATTGCCTTGATGAGTAACTCAGGGGACGAAATACAGTTCATGATTACTGAACTTGACAAGGAAAGCAGATAAGTAGGTCTGAAAATCAATGTGCACAAAACTAAAGTAATGTCCAACAATCTCGGCAGAAAACAGCACTGAGGTAACTAGAAGAATAAGAATGAGGTGGAGCACAATTGGCAAGCATGCTCTAATCTTGACTGGTATATTGCCACTATTCCTCAAGAGAAAAGTATACAACAGTTGCATCTTGTCAGTACTTACCTACAGAGCAGAAACCTGGAGGCTGACAAAGAGGGTTCAGCTTGAACTGAGCACGACGCAGCGAGCGATAGAAAAAAAATGATAGGTGTAATCTTAAGAGGCAAGAAGAGAGGAGAGTGGGTCAGGGAACAAACCGGGGTTAAGGATATCATAGTTGAAATGAAGACAAAGAAATCGACATGAGCCGGACACGTAGCACGTAGGCAGGATAACCGGTGGTCATTAAGGGCAACTGACTGGATTCCCAGAGAAGGCAAACGCATGAAGGGGAAACGAAAAGTTACGTGGGCTGATGAGATTAAAAAAGTTTGTGGTTATAACGTGGCAACGGAACGCACAAGACCGGGATGACTGGTGGATCATGGGAGAGGCTTTTGCCCTGCAGCGGGCGTAGTCAGGCTGATGATGAAGATGATGTTGCTGTTGCTGCTGCTGATGATGATGATGACAGAGGCCTCGTTGACATTTGTGTAACTGAGTAATTGCCAGTAGTAGACCACGGCAACAGAGACAACGGGAAAAATGGGACAGCTGTGCACTAGTGATGCCAGACTGTGAAAGCAGAGGAGCTGGTAGCATTGTCTTCTTTTCCCTTTTCGTCACCCTCGCTTTTCTTCCCCACCCTTCACTATCCTATACAACACAATACTATGATATTCCTTTCCTTACCAACTTCTGGTTTCCTACTTCACATTATCGCTTCCCGCTCAAAATTGCTATACTATACAGGTCAGGGCGATCACGACGAAGCATTTTCTAGAATTGAATGATAGATTATTCATTTCGTATTGATTGGTTATCGAAACCTATCAGTCATAGATTTTTCTGTTCAGGCCAAGCTCATCCAAGGATTTCCACACTCTATCGGTTCTTGATCGATTGTCGATGGATTTGCTGTCGAGTGGTTAGCGCAATAAACTAATAATGCATTTGGCTGAGCCGAAAGTCATCCAAGCTTTTTGTAGAATTTGTTGGTTATTGACTAATCATCGACTGGCTAGTGATTTGTTATTGATTGGCTATCACTAGGTTTTGACCCTGTAATTGTGCCTTGCTAAACATATCTGAACATTTACTAGAATTTACGTAATATTGATATAGTATAGATTAGGTATTTATTGGTTGTGGACTGGCACTCACTAGGCTTTGGCCATGCATTTGGGCAGGCTTAGCCCATGGTTATTTGCCACTTTTCTATTACCTATTGATTGGCTATCGCTTGACATCGATGAATATGCTAAGAGCAACTTCTTCCGGCGCAGTACACGCATAAGTGAGGCCTAGTTTTTTCGAACAATGGATGGACTAGTACAGAAAGCTACGCTGTTAAGGATCTTGTGCGGTGTAGCTGCTTAGGCTGGAAGTGAGACGTTCACTGCAAGAGACCATGCAACGAACGTAAATCTTACAAAGTGGCAAGTGTTTTTTTCTGAAGCCCTGATTGCACCCTGGAAATTGGTGGTTTCTATGTGCTAGAAATGAAAGAAACAAAAGTAAATCCACAAATATTAATCTGTTCTTAATAGTGCGTTTAAAAGCAATGCTGGAAGCTTTCTTGTATGATATGTCTGAAGTTTCAGAGCGCAACTAGCAGAGAGTGAAGATTTGTGGCATTGCATGAATAATTATTCACTTTCCATGGCAAGAAATACATTGTCAAAGTTAAGCACAACTGCTACACATAATGTCAAGTACTTAGATGAATACGATGCACCGTTTTATGAAACTCGATAAAACAGTTTTCATGTAGAAAGTTTCTTTGCGTGCCTACTGAGACTGCATTCAATAATATAGAATAGTTTCACAGCGCTTAGCTTTCAACATCTCATTTTCTTCTTTTTTTTCATTTCCTGCTAGAAAGTGTGCCAACTGCACCACGATCAGATACTCCAATCTAAGTGTATGGTGCGCGGTGACATCGGTGACTGCCCCAACAGTGCAGCCTTTACTATCAACATGTATTACAACATCATTCCTAAACTGGCCATATACGACATTTTCTGTCGTTTGCCATTCGTTCAACCTTTTTTATAGACTGAAGTCATGCGCAGTCGCTTATCGCTTGGCGAACGCTCAGTCGTTTTTTCTGGTTAAAGAAGAGCCTAGGTTCTTCAACTGGGGGTGATAGCTCGCGTTGACGTTGGTCGCCAGTGACTTTAGAAGAAGTTAACGATCCCCAAAAAGTTTGCTACTTTATTTTTTCTTTTTCTTTCCCCTTTGCAGCTCCCCATACGAGGTGCTAGGAGCTTCCGCATTTTTTTAATCTCCATCACTATCCTGGCTGCGGTGGCTGCATTTCCGATGGAGGCGGAAATGTTGTAGGCCCGTGTGCTCAGATTTGGGTGCACGTTAAAGAACTCCAGGTGGTCCAAATTTCCGGAGCTCTCTACTACGGCGTCTCTCATAATCATATGGTGGTTTCGGGACGTTAAACCCCACATATCAATCAATTCTCTATCACTTCCCGATGAAAATGCATCGACCCGAGAATCTTCTGACTGAACTAGAGTTCGAAGAAAGAGCGCTTAGAAAATGCAATCGGCGTTATGTGGCTCAGACATATGAGGCCCCCGCAACCAAAAAACATTACAGAAGGCGAACAATCTACGCTGCTCAAACGAGTTGGATTAGTGCAATCTAATAAAGCATCTGATTTCGAAAATTGAATATGTCATTGGTGGGAATGCTAACACCCCCTGTAAATGGCTTTGCACCTCGTGGTGCACGTGTCTCACTCATAGGCCGCATTCAGGGTCAGAACTATCGAGCGGTAGGTTTCGTTGTGCTAGCGAGCGTTTACCACCACCATTATGATCATAGTGAGCGTGGTCGAGCCGGCAGGGATGCCTGGCGGCAAGCCTAGGTGGCGGCACATCAGAGATGAGCGGTACTTTTGTGCGTGTGGCGGTTGGAGCGAGCGGGCGTGTCTTGCGGCGGGCCCGCAGTAGACGGTACCGCGAGGCGTCTGGCGTGGGTCCTCGTGGTGAGTCGAGCGTTGGTGACCACGCCTTGTGTGGGTTTTTGTGTTTGTTATGTTGTTGAGTTGTGCAATATTGTGTGATGTTGCTTTGGCGTGTTGATCAGAATTGATGTATAATAATTTGGCTGACGACATCGTCTATCTAAAAGCAGTTAAATAAATCTGTGTTTTTTATTTGGCGCAACCATGTCTACTGTGCCCATTCACTCTAAGAGTCTGGTGCTCTCCACAGTGGGACCCCACACATATCAGGTACACGCATAAGGAGTTCCCAGTAAGGTTACCATTGCGGTCACCGGTTAATTCAAGAGAATTCACATAATTTGGGAGAACTATTCTCGAAACCGAACAACGATGCTTCGCACCCTGTGATGCTCAAACGACATTGCGGCGGCAATTATTTTGATTTTAGAAAGTCTCTTTCAGGCCTCAGCAAGCTGGGAGCGTTTTCGCTCGCAGATACGCAAGAGAAGGTCAGCGAGCCTTGAAATCTAAACAGCAGGTCTGGCTTACCTTGGGCAGCAGCTTCTCGGCAAACTTCCCGGGAACAACTGAGTCAAAAACTTTTGCCGATGAGTCCAGGTAGCGGGCGGCGTCGCCTGATGGTGAACTGGTGGACAGTTCAGGATTTGATCTTGATTTTGAGGTAGGTTGCAGCTGCAGACAAGCGATGTGGAAACATGTGATTAGAGAGTGAATTCGTGGATGTTTGCGATCGCCTATGGCGTACACGTGCAGCGCACAATCAATGTGAAAGAACAAGGGAAGTATAAAAAATTAAAAATTTAGCTATAACGATTTTGTGTAATGAGGTTTTTTGTGTGATTAATGGCCGCTTAGCTCTCATAACACTCTTCCAATACGGCATAAGAGTTGCGCTTGCTCTTTAAAGTATGTTTATCATTACCCGCAGATATGAGCAGGATTGTGATTACTCAACAACTGCGCGGCTCAATACAAAAAGTCGAAACCATTGTTGCAAACATGCTTTTTCCTGTTGACCAACGGCGGCCACTGTCTATAGAAACGGTGGCCAATGACAGACGTCGTCCGCGCTTTTACGTGCGCACCATTCCTATGTTAAAGGATGATAATGTTCTGGGAGCTGTACGCCAAACTCGCAACGTGTGCCACTCTTGTGTTACTTGACGCATTTTATATAGCATTTGCTTAAAGCGTTTCCTTACACGTTTATTCATTGCGGTGAAAAATGTTAATGTCGTTAAGGTTTTAGTCTTCATCTTTTAAGCTTTCCTACTAAGCTTTATGTGACGAATTCAGTCATCATCATCATCAGTCTGACTTGGTCTACTGCAGGACAAAGGCCTCTCCCATGTTCCGCTAGTTAACCCGGTCCTGTGCTTGCTGCTGCCAATTTATACCCGCAAACTTCTTAAACTCTTCTTCTTAATCTTAGTATCCCCCTAACCCGCTTGCCTTCTCTGGGAATCCAGTTAGTTACCCTTAATGACCAGCGGTTATCCTGTCTACGCGCTACATGCCCGGCCCATGTCCATTTCCTCTTCTTCATTTCAGCTATGATATCCTTAACATCCGTTTGTTCCCTAACACACTCTGCTCTCTTCTTGTCTCTTCAGGTTACCCCTACCATTTTCCTTTCCATTGCTCGCTGCGTCGCCCTCAATTGAAGCTGAACTCTCTTTGTAAGTCTCCAGGTTTCTGCTACGTAGCTAAGTACCGGCAAAATACAGCTGTTATGTACCCTCCTCTTGAAGGATAGTGGCAATGTAGCTGTCATAATTTGAGAGTGCTTGCCAAATGTGCTCCACCCCATTCTTATTGTTCTAGTTACCTCAATCTCTTGGTTCGGCTCCACGGTTATTACCTGCCCTAAGTAAACATAGTCTTTTACTATTTGGAAGGCACTATTACCTATCTCGAAGCTCTGCTCTCTTCCGAGGTTGTTGTACATTACTTTCGTTTTCTGTAGATTAGTTTTAAGACCCACCTTTCTGCTGTCCTTGTCTAACTCCGTAATCATGAGTTGCAATTCATCCTCTGAGTTACTCAGCAATGCAATGTCATGCATACGTCACACATGCACACGTCAATTAACGAAATTAGTGGAGCTCCTGAAGGCGCTTAGAACGATAAATGGTCCAAATAGTCAGCTTGATGTTAAATTAAGTATAAGACCCCGCTGCACTTTGAACTCATGATATCTAAATAAAATTTGTGTCCCTCAAAGGCCTAGAAAATATATTATCCAAGTAAAGGAACGCGTAGAAAAGGCTCTGCAGTAATTACTACTACTACTACTACTACTACTACTACTACTACTACTACTACTACTACTACTACTACTACTACTACTACTACTACTACTACTTTTATTACGTCAATAAATATATATTACCACCTTTGTGGCTCGTGTCTCAATTTTAGAGAGTTCACGCTAGTTTAGTGTTTTGGGCCAGGTGTCGGCGTTATTAGCAACAAATTTTCAGGCGGCTCACAAACGTTATAGCTAAAGAAAACTTCCAAGTTTCTTGAGAATCTCAATACTTGTGGCAACGTTTCTTGTCGCAAAAGTAGAGACACCCGTATGTCGGTGATGGTTTGACGGATGTCACACGAATCTTACATGGCCTCAGACAAATAAGGCAACAGAAAATGCACACTTTATTATGCGTTCTTTAGCTGCCATTCCAGTATAATATTTTTATTGTTTCCATGTCTCAGTTTTGGTGTAATCAGAGAATGCGGCATCTGAACATAAGGGTTGGGAAGTAACACAAAAGAAATGAAATAAAAGAGGTTCTGAGGTAGGTAACACTTATTCACACAGAGTATGAAATCGTTCCGGTGGGCTGTCACACAAGCACACGTAGAGAAATAAGGGAACAGTACACACAGGCAAGCACAAGCATGCATGCGTACGTTACGACCTTTTAGGTATGTCGTTTCCTCATTGGTGGTCTGAAAAGGAAGACGAAGCAGCAAACAAAGGAAGCAAAGGAGGTATGCCACACCGATAGAAACGTTCTCGTGGGCAGGAGCGACAGGCGACGGATGGAGCGAAACGCTTTGCCCTGAACAAAATAAAACACAAGACTTCACCAGACAGCACAGGTTACAGACAGGACAAACACAGGCACAAAAATACACGTGACGGTGGGTATTAGAGGGGTGAGGGAGAGGAAGGAAGAGATTACACAAGTGGCACATTGTCCATGAGGTTTTGCGCGTGTGGTTTAGCGTCTCGGGTGCGAATGTTGTGACACAGGTTAAGAATGGCTGGCTTAAAGCCCTGGTACGTGAGAATGCTCCAATTCTAGGGAACACCACAGGGTTCGCAGTTATACTGCAGGCGTTACGCTAATCCTTCGAGGCTACCTCGAACAAAATGAATCGTGCTCAACCTTTCTTACTATAACTGAGTTCGTGGTAGTGTCACTGGTGGCTCTAGATACACAAAGTACATTAAGCACAATTTTGTAGAAAAGAATGAAACTACTGTAATATTTCAATGACGAGTTTGTTTGGCGTGAGACGATAGTTGTTTGCAGTTTTGAACTGAACTAGCGGTTCCCAACTCACGAAGAAAACAAGACTGCCTTTATTGCGGTGTGATAACATCAGTCGGAAAGTAAAGCATTCTACCGTATGGTATTTCAACTCTTATTTCACCTTGAACCCTTATCTATCTATCTATCTATCTATCTATCTATCTATCTATCTATCTATATCTATCTATCTATCTATCTATCTATCTATCTATCTATCTATCTATCTATCTATCTATCTATCTATCTATCTATCTATCTATCTATCTATCTATCTATCTATCTATCTATCTACTATCTATCTATCTATCTATCTATCTATCTATCTATCTATCTATCTATCTATCTATCTATCTATCTATCTATCTATCTATCTATCTATCTATCTATCTATCTATCTATCTATCTATCTATCTATCTATCTATCTATCTATCTATCTATCTATCTATCTATCTATCTATCTATCTAGCTAGCTAGCTAGCTAGCTATCTATCTATATATTTATCTATCTATCTATCTATCTATCTATCTATCTATCTATCTATCTATCTATCTATCTATCTATCTATCTATCTATCTATCTATCTATCTATCTATCTATCTATCTATCTTCGTATAGCTGTGCTACTATCAGTGTGAAAATTGAGATGAAGTAAAATATTACAAGATCAGCGACTCTAAGCATGCTGCATATACCTATGTGTGTCCGGTGAATTATCCTAGTGGGATCGTACCCTAGACCTATAATGTATCATGGAAGATATAAAATTACCTTCATTGGCTCTTGCGTCTAACTACACAGACATTTTCGTATATCATGGTTGTGATTTACTTTATACGTCAGCTAGGGACTGACGTATATTTGTAATTTTTTTAGGTATAAAAAAGTACTTGATTAACTCCTATAGCTCATCCACTCCATGTTGTCATCTTGTAAGGGCCTAAGCTATACATATACTATATTTTTATTTTTATATCTTTTTGGCACTGCGCACTGATGAACGTTTCGCACTCTTCACGCCACGGCATGACTTTTCTGCACAGAGTTATTACACTGTTGGGACAAATTATGAATCCTATCAGACAACACAGTTTAATGAAGCTGATGGACCTCAGGAATTTTAACAACGGTGCGTGCAGTGCTGAACGAATCATTGCTGAGCCGTGTTGTTTCGATTAGGGTGCCTTAATGCACGCGCCCCAATTAGAGTGTAGCCACTTTTTTTTCAAGATGCAATCACGCCGCGATTCTCTCGTCAGCGTCCCGCACTTATTAGCGGTGCCCTCGTCCCCTCGTCGAGCTGTGAGACACTGTTAGCCTGAATATGGCGGCCGTGCTGAAGCGGATGGTGTATAGGCATTCACTCTAAATTGAAGAACGCGCGCACCAAGGCACCCTACTTTCTATAACTGTGTGAGCTAGAACACTCTGTAAAGAAGTGTGTAGAGTGGTGATTGCCGGAGAGTTTCAAAGCCATACCAGGGCGCCAAACCCGAAGTTTTCTTGGGGCGCAGCGTGCACAAGGAGCACGTCCGTGGAGAAACACGCCACCAGAAGCACGAACGCTGTTCACAGGGCAAGAAAACGTCAGGACGTAAGGAAGAAATAAACATAGAAGCCATATTTAACATTTTCTGGAAAAAATGATGCATAAAAATGTCATTTTTGAAGAGTGGGTAATAAACTATATGAAATATTACACCTATTGTATCCTTTAACTTCGCTCCAACATCCATAACGCTGATTACGATGAGGGAAGCCATGGCAGGTGGTTTACCGCTACTCATTTTTACGTGTGCACGATACATTACGAATATGGTGCACGCGTATATCTGGTATGCAGCTGTGCTCGGTTTCACATGAAGTGACTCTGTACTCGAAGTTCCGAGGTGGGTTAATTGTGGGTGGTCGAAGGCCTGATCGAAGCTCTTTGCAGAAACCTACACGGTGGTGCACGGGTGGTATAGGCGCACCTATGCATTCTTATGAGTGAGCATTTCATGGGATTTACGTCATAGAATAGAAAGTTGGGCGAGTTGGTTTATATTCATATTAAAAGAAAAGCGGCGCACAAAAATACGGAGACAAAGAAGAGAACCACACACAGCGCTGCACTCACAACTAAAAGTTTAATCCGAGCAACAAGAATTTAAAAAGTAATAGCCGCGCATGACAAGTGAGGTACAACGATAATAAATGATGCGCTCATCAATAAAAGTGAACTCTTTTTTGTGCAATGTAACCGAGGCTTACGCAAGCATCACGTGACGTGTTAATATGATAGGCTTCAGACACCTCACGGGTGAATTGGTCGTAGCGCTTAAAAATAATAACAGTGTTAGACAGATCAGGTGTGCACGCACACGTGGCACAATGCGAAGCCAAATGGGAAGGCGTCCCGTTATGCAACGAGAGATAGTGCTCCCGCAACCTTTTATTGACACAGCGGCCCGTCTGTCCCACATAATGACGGCCACAAGATAAATGAATGCGGTACACCACCCCCACAGCACAAGGCACATACTTATTTCTATGGTTTATGGCACATTTCTTAACACCTGGCTTGTCCTTCTTGTCTAGCTGATTGGACACCAGTGCACATATCTTTCCCAATTTATTGGGTGCCCTAAAAACCACATCAACTCCGTAGCGGGAACCAACATTTTTTAACCCATGTGCCAGTTTATGCATTTAAGGAATTGCTGCGAACTTCATTTTTTCCCGATTGAATTTCCTAGCTGCACGTCCTTTTAAACCACCAATTAACTTATCGCAAACAGCCACAATTATGTTAGGGGGGAATCCTGCTTCCTCTAGTCTTGCAACTTGCTTAGCAAAACCCGAGCCCAACACATGCCTGCACGAGTTTTCTAGAGCGGATTTAAGGCAGGTGAAAGCGATGCCCCTCTTTACCACCTTTGAGTGGGCTGATCCAAAATTAAGAATTGGTTTCACTGATCGTGGCTCAAAACACCAGCAAATATGGGAACTCTGAAACTGAAGTTTAAGATCGAGAAATTGTAGACAGTCAGATTCTGGAACCTCCGATGGGAAGGACAAACCCATGCCTTCTGTCCTGAACACCTTCAACACATTGGAAACATTATCCGGGAACGTGGTATCCTTTGTTGATGTGGTTTTTAGGGCACCCAATAAATTGGGAAAGATATGTGCATTGGTGTCAAATCAGCTAGACAAGAAGGACAAGCCAGATGTTAAGAAATGTGCCGTAAACCATAGAAATAAGTATGTGCCTTGCGCTGTGGGGGTGGTGTACCGCATTCCTTTATCTTGTGGCCGTCATTATGTGGGACAGACGGGCCGCTGTGTCAATAAAAGGTTGCGGGAGCACTATCTCTCTTTGCATAACGGCACGCCTTCCCATTTGGCTTCGCATTGTGCCACGTGTGGATGCACACCTGATCTGTCTAATACTGTTATTATTTTTAAGCACCACGACCAATTCACCCGTGAGGTGTCTGAAGCCTATCATATTAACAAGTCACGTGATGCTTGCGTAAGCCAGACCTCGGTTACATTGCACAAAAAAGAGTTCACTTTTATTGATGAGCGCATCATTTAATCTCGTTGTACCTCACTTGTCCTTCGCGGCTATTACTTTTTAAATTCTTGTTGCTCGGATTAAACTTTCAGTTGTGAGTGCAGCGCTGTGTGTGGTTCTCTTCTTTGTCTCCGTCTTTTTGTGCGCCGCTTTTCTTTTAATATGGATTTACGTCAGCTGCGGTGAACCTGCACTCCCGATTGAGGTCACTGCTATATGCCTTACAGTTGAAAATACTCGTGAATTCATTACACATTGCGGCGAGCTGGTAAAAATTGATCTTGTTATAGGCATATTTGTTGTTGTGAAAGATGACGATGTAGCCTAACCACCACGTTTTTAGCACGTGTTTCCACTGAAAAGCTAATCAATATTTCCCCATCATCATCAACATCTTCTCTGTGTTTACCTTACCACCCCTTTACCTCACCTAATGCTGAGTAGCAGCAGGCCACAAAATTGAGTCCAGCTTACCTGTAAGCTATTCTCTCACAATAAACCTCTCTCTCTCTCTCTTCGACTTTCTGTTTACGCAAACATAATTATTTTATATAACAACGCGCCACCTCTATTCGTCTTGTATTTTTTGTTTGTGTTCCCCGTTCCCCGCCGCGGTGATCTAGTGGCAAAGGTACTCGGCTGCTGACCTGCAGGTCACGGGATCTAATCTCGGCTGCGACGGCTGCATTTCCAATGAATGCGGAAATGTTGTAGGCCCGTGTTCTCAGCTTTGGGTGCACTTTAAAGAGCCCTAGGTGGTCGAAGTTTCCGGAGCCCACCACTACGGCGTCTGCCGTAACCATATGGTGGTTTTGGGACGTTAAACCCTACATATCTATATATATTCCCAATTACTCGCGTCATTAGATACACCTGTGGCGCAGTTACGATGCAAATTTTAGCGACTATGTCACCTTATTTTTGAAGTATAGTGTGAAAAAAATTATGCTGTCTCTGTCTCGTCGTTTTAGTTCATTCAATGATTATAGCAGACAAAGCAAGATGACGCTTCTTAGTGGACAAACACTATAGCCTTCATCGGAATAGGTATGGCGATTTCGTTATACCTCCATTGACGAAACTAGAGCGAAAACACTATAGCTTCTTGGGCAAATTGGTCCTTACGGAATGGCATGGCTACGTGAAATACCTATTGACAAATCCCCGTGAAGATAACTTGCATGTTATGGTTGAAGTTTCTGTCTAGAGTTAGCTCTCAACAATACAGAAAGCACGCTGATAAGGGGCTGGGCCTTCTCATATGTGCCAAGCCCTTTTTATCATTTTTTGGTGGATAAAATAGGCAGAGATAAACAAGGCTTCCGGCTGCTGGGTGTCATTGGGAAACTGACAGCGCACACTTCCAGAGGGTTTGCATCTTTTTTAGGGAGCTTCCCTGAAGAGAAGTCAATGTTGCACCTTTAAATGATATCAAACATCCCGCATTGTTTGCTGCTAAAGTTACCAGCGAAAGGTATGGCAGGAAGAAGCAGACAAGAAGATAGGGTGGTGTACATTCCCGTATTATGAAACAACCTGAATTAATGGCAACGTCCTATTGCTCTACCGAAACAGCCTTCTTCTTCTTCTTCTTCTTCTTCTTCTTCTTCTTCTTCTTCTTCTTCTTCTTCTTCTTCTTCTTCTTCTTCTTCTTCTTCTTCTTCTTCTTCTTCTTCTTCTTCTTCTTCTTCTTCTTCTTCTTCTTCTTCTTCTTCTTCTTCTTCTTCTTCTTCTTCTTCTTCTTCTTTCTTCTTCTTCTCTTCTTCTTCTTCTTCTTCTTCTTCTTCTTCTTCTTCTTCTTCCAGGGCCTATTTTCTGGTCTATACCGGTAAAGTGCTGCAGGAAACCGTCTTGTGTACACCTTCAGCATTCGAAAGCTTCTGCTCGGATATAACATTCACTTAGGACTTCAGCTTGGGTTATTGAGTACAACTGGCTGTTCACAAACTGTTTATACGTGTATATATTCGAGGTATCGTCACACGTACATGACGCTAGAAGACGCGCTTCGCTCACTATCAGCTCACTCGGAGCCCGGAACAACAGAAACAAGAAGATTATACAATATCGGGAGTAAAGAACACAGCTTCACATGAAGTAAATAACAGAACGTGGTGCGTACGTTTATATTTAAAGACAATTCAATAAAGAAAACTCCCAGAGGTATTAAAGTTTTTTATACACAACCTCTTCATTGTTAGGACATGAAAGGAGGTAAGTTGCTACACCCTTCTTGACGAAGCCTCGGGACAAGTTCTGCTGAATAATTTCTAAGGCGTATGTATGTCTGTTAAGAATGCTCGGGATTTATACGAAAGCATTGGGGACTGTCATTCGAAAACAAAAAAAATGCACATGTTTTTTCTTGAAAAACATACGACAACCACGTGCTGCTGTGTTTTTAAATATTTGCTAGTAGTTTCATACTGCTTTTTTAAACAAGTAAAGTTGTAACAATTTTTATAGTTATTCCTAGAAACATAATCTCAATAACAAGAAAGAACTCTAACATTAAAATTGGGTGATGGTCCAATTCCTCTAATAGATGTCACACCTAGGAAACACGAGCTGTTACCACAACAAGTATTAATCAGTACAGGAGAATGCTGTGCCTGGCATTTGCGTATGAAACCTATGCACATCACCCAGCAGTCGTGAGCCCCGCATGCTTATATGGGGCTACAACTGCGTGAGATTTCACGATGCTCATTTAAGTGCTGGTACTTTGTAACATGGTTCTTTGGTGGGGAATGTGAAGTGAACTTACCGTAAGCTTCACAGAGTTTCGCCATTTTTCCTATTCTTCGGATAGGTGAAGGTAGAGTGGTCTGCATAAAGAAAGTTGAAGGATAAAAGGGAAACATGTCAATCGTTTTTGAAACGCGCGTGGATTCAAGAGAATTTTCAAGTTGAGGCTCGGCGGAGCAGGAGTAAACTCTCTACTCTTCTTAAGTGAACCAGAATGAAGCTCGGGTCTTTTTTTTGGCTATGAGATCAAAACTGGATTTGTGTGGTTACACGTGTCTACGTGACGTGTGTAACTTCAAAAAAAAAAATCAAACGTGAGTGCTGTGAAGTGCATCGGCGAAGACGTAAAAACCAAAAGTACACATATCAAAGAGCTAATTGCATGTGAATCTTGGTTAGAAACGAAGACCTTCGCAATCTGTATTCACTGCAAGAAGCAGTGAACTGCGGGTGCTAGGTAAAGAATTCCACGCTGAGTCGTAAAACCAGCCTTTCACGTGTGGGATGTCGTCTTGTTGGCAGAATGCACATCTAGGCGTACCTTCTAACAGTTTACTACTACTCCGAAAGAAATTACGTATTGTGATTTGCCATCATATACATTGAAACTTTGTAATAATTGTCTTAAAGAAAACAGCGAAAGAAAAGAAAACGAACAAAAGACTGATTTAAAGGAAATATTAGGACCATTCCTAAATAAGAAAAGTGTAGCATTTAAATTTACTTCACGGGTTTGAATAGTTTCGTATTACAAAAAATGCACAGTCGTAAGCACAGAATATTCTTTCTGCCCTGTTCCGCTTTCACTTACGCTCCTCCTCGTGAACACGATAAGTCTTCTCGCTTTCATCTACTCTCATCCACTTTCTTCCTCTTCTATACCTCGTAGATAAGAGGCATGATGATGCTTCGTTTGGGCTTCTTGTGAAACAAAATGGTATTTTTTTTTTGCTGCTACTGATTGGAGGTGACTTCGCTATAGTTTTGAGCTGAACTTTGCTTATTGTATGTGAGAGAACGCGGTTCACAAAAACAAAATCGGACGCAACAATGAGTCTGAAAAGTGAACTAGCAGCCAAATCTCGGGCAGATATTATAAACGAAGTTGTAAGTTCAATTTAGAAAGTTTAATGATATGCCATATACCCCAGGGGTGGATTCAGAAATAAACAACTGTGGAGCCCAAACTGTCATTGCCGTACTATTACACAGCACCTGGAGTCTCGCTTTTGGTGCCATGTTGGGGTGAAGGCCGTCTTCTCTCTAACAAGTGACGCCCATGCACTAAGCTTCCCATACACTCAACTTTTGGGGCATCTGGTGAGGCACCAGAAGTCTCCACTATTCTCCAGCGTGGCTTTCCACAGAGAGTTTAATGCTATTATCATGACGCCAATAACCCGCACCCTTTAATACATGAGACTCCGGCGAGCGCAGAAGCTGCTGACGTCATGGGGACAGATAGGGTCATCCTTGAAAGCATACGAATTACATCCCCAAGGACGCGCGTGTTCACTGAACACACAGAAGCATAAAGCTAGCCAATAATGAGAACTGTTTACACAATCGCAATGTATTTATTGGTACCTTTTCATTCGGGGTATAATTAATAATATCCCTGGACGGCAAAGGGCAAATGTTTCGAATGATCACAACTTTGTTAGCTTAGGGTAATTTGTTGCATTTGAGATACGGGCTGTTTCAATGTATTCGTGATGGCTCAATAACATGGTTTTACGATCTGTATCTGTTAACGAAAAGAACGCAACAAACATTTTGTATAGTTAGTGTACGCAGTATGCGCATTCAAGATATTCTTGTGGCAGTGGTCTTGTTTCACTTCGTAAGTTTTGCCTGCATCTTTACATGGACGACCGGAAAGTTTCTTTTAACACTAACGACTTTGATTTTCTGTGCTTGTGTACTTCTCTTCACTTATGCAGCGTGTACTTGCACGCAACAGCAGAGAAAGGCTGGGTTGCTTGTGCTGTCGTAAAAATCAAATAATATATTGTGCGTGTTTTGTTAGTACTATGAAGAGTTGCAGCAGCACTTACGTTTTTAAGCCGGGAAAATTCGGATAAGAAAGAAGAAAGGTGTGATACAATAGACCTAGAACAATACAAAAGAGGTTGCCTGTCACACCAACGTTTCATCATACTGTCACACAAACCAGCTTGTGTTACTCTGAGTTCTGAAACTTATTTTTAATAGATGGTGGGTGACAACTAATAATAGAATAAATAGTTGTCTGGTCTAAAGAAATGCATTTACAAAATTCACTGAATAGTTTGAAGGAAGCCTTTTTTTGTTCTGTGTGCCTGAGGTTCATTTATATCTCTTGACAAATGCAATGCATGATGTAAAAAACAAAATGACTATTACAAGGAAGCAGAAATTTTACAGCAGTGACATTCAAATGTGGTGCTTTACTATGCACACTTCTTTAGGATCATCTTTAAATCTTTAAAATCTTTAAAATCTTTAAAATCTTTAAAATCTTTAAAAATCAATGACTTTAGTGTCTTATACTCTTTGATGTTGCCTTTCCTCTGTCGCAATTTTTTTGTAGTTTCTCCCTCTCTTCGCAACATTTCTTTTTAACATCTTTCATTCCCCTCACCCCTTTCCCCAGCACAGGGTAGCCAGCCAGTCTAAGAACTGGCTAACCTCCCTGTCTTTCCGCTTAAAACTTTCTTCCCCTCCACACTTCTTTAAGGGCCCCAATTTCAGTTTTAAATTTTGATATAAATATACACTACGCAAGCAAGAATGCCTATTAGTGGTATCTTTGACGCTGTTTATGATAAAGTTCTACTTATTCAACATTATATTATGAACTGTTTTGGCAAGCTTGAGCTCAAACTATAAAAAAAGATGATCTCGCATGCAACTGTACAACTGTGAACGAATCTGTATAAGCAATGTTTCTGGGTCTTTTTCATCAGTAAAGTCTGCATTGAGCTTCCAGTATAAGAGTTTGTGTGTTTTACTGAAAGCGAGCCAATGTTTCGCCTTAGAGTGTTTAGAGAAATAAATCATGTTTTAGGGGAGGGCACGTTTTTTGAAATTGTGATCATTACTAGACATGGCGCTACTAGCTACATATGTAGGTTCACTTCAATGCATGTTCTGGAGTCGCCACATGTAGTGGCAACGTTTTCCTTAAGAATAAGTTGTATAAAAATTTAGGCCATTTTAGCATACATTATTTAGTCATCTCATTCTTCTGGGGTGACGAGTCAAACCTTCACAGATGTCAGAGACTCTTGATTGATGAATGGGTAACCGTGTTGGCAAAATTGATCGCAGTGGGATGGTGGCAGAGTGTTTGCTCACTAGGTACTTTGTAGACTCATATTATCTTCACATAAACAGATAAATAAAAAATTTGAAGAATATTGATTGACAGAATTGTATGTAGGCGTGACGCTATTGTGTTTTATTCCTTCAAACGTTACCGTTCACGTGGTCACGTGTCAATACTTTTCACTTCACCTTTCATGCTTTCCAAAAAAGATTCTTTTAGGCGATCTCCAATTGGACTCTGAAGCAGATCTGGAGGCTTCCTGTTGTCACTAAACGCTCGATAACGGCGAGCACATTTAATCAACGGTCTTGAAAAAATTCAAAACAAAAATAGTAGATCCCACGCACAGTGGGAGTCAATGATATGCGAAGCACGAATGAGGAAGGTTGAAAGGTCACATTAAAATCAGCACAACGTTTCGAGGCAAGAGATAAATTATGCCGTGCATGACATCCGTGTAACAATTATTATGTTTACGCCTGAAATTTCTTCTCAGTTGTCAATTCACATCACGTAATACCAAATGTTATATATGTGAAGCTCGTGAAACGGCTGCAAGCTCTTTATGAGCGTAGCATGAAGTCATGTTTTTTTGTGACACGCATGTCATTATTATCATGTTTGGACGTGTCATTTATCTTCGTCGTCTACTCACGTCACGTAATACGCAATTTGGTCTATGAGAAGTTAGCGAAACAGCCGTGAGCTCATCATGAAAGAGGCATATAGTCATGTTCTTGCATGACACGCATGTTATGGTTATCATGTTCACACCAGTCATATACCGTCGTCATTCATTGACGCCACATAATACCGAGTTTGGTTCATGTGAAGCTTGTAGCATGTGGCCATGTTCTTGGATGACACACATGTTATATTTCCATGTGAGGACCTTTCAGTTATGTTCACCATGCAGTTATGTCTTACCATACAAGTTTTGGATATGTCATGTGAACGAAACCACCCCAAGAGCAGCGAGACCTTGACATGTAAATCATGACATTCATGTGATACACATCATGATTTTCTTGTTAAGACTAGTCACTTATGCTCGTTGTACAGTCATTTTATGCCATGCCAATTTTGGTATAGATCCCATTGTCCAAACGTCCCGGATAGCAAAATGTCGTAGGCGGCTAGATAGATAGATAGATAGATAGATAGATAGATAGATAGATAGATAGATAGATAGATAGATAATAGATATATATAGATAGATAGATAGATAGATAGATTGATAGATAGATAGATAGATAGATAGATACGGTCAAACTCGCTGAAGTTTGCTAAGAAATGCTTCGCATTTAAAAATCGGAGAAGGAAATAGTCCCGGTTCGTTCTAAACACGTTGATGGCAGCAAAGGCATTGAATATCATGCATTCTCGTGTTGGTATTAAACTCAATCAGTGCACTTGAAAAAAGACCAGAGGGTCGAAATTTCCGGAGCTTTCAGCTATGGCGTCTCTATAATCATGTACTGGTTTTGGTAAGTAAGATGGAGCCTAGGTATTATTATTATTATTATTATTATTATTATTATTATTATTATTATTATTATTATTATATTATTAATATTATCAAGAACTACGTAATTTTTGTGGAATTGAGTAAAACGGTCCTTAAAGCTTTGAGAAATTCAGCTTGCAGAACTGATATATTCGGGGACGTATTCAGAGCAGTCAAGAAAGATGACCAATTGTACAACAATATGATCGTTGCTACGTTCATACGAACGGCAATAACGGGCGCACTGTTTCTAGTAACAAAAAGTATAACTGTGAATTATCCAGAAGTTGGAGTAAGTAGGGTGTTTATAGCGGCAACGGCCTTGTCTTTCTTGGTGGTACAGTTCTGCTTGCTGAAAAAATTTTATTTGTTGGATTGTGAAATGAGCACCTGTCAGATCCATAGAGTATCAATTTGCCAACACAGGAATGAATGAATAAAGAGATGTGCAGCAGCCTCAAGTACTCCTTGAAAGCCCTCCCACCGCTCGCCCCCACCCACTCCTCTCCAAAAAACGGATAGACAACGCTTACTCCAGGCTGAAAGAGAAAGAAAAGTTTTATGCAACAGAGCATGCAATCGAAGAGAGCGTGTATGGCCTGCTTCTGCACTCAGCGATGAAATTATTGTTTAGATAACACAGCGCGAGTCAAGAGTGCGTGATATGTTATAGATCAGACTTTTGGAAATATCGTTCTCTCCTAAAGTAGAAAAAAGAACAGTTGCTGAAACAAACTGTTGGATATTTTTCTAACCTTCGCAGTCTTCTAATTTTTGTAAGGAGACCACCTAACTGTGAAGCTTATCATTTTAAATTCGACGAAATTATAACTTCTGCAACATTTTGTGGTTGTTGCACTTCGGCATATTCAAGAAAAAATTGCCTTAGCTGAACTGCCGAGAAAAATTGACAAAATATTGTGAATTATTATAAACTTTAAAAAGTCTTCAAATGAGTTCTTCCCTGCACACACACACACACACATATATATATATATATATATACATATATATATATATATATATATATATATATATATATATATATATATATATATATATATATATATATATATATATATATATATATATATTATATATATATATATATATATATATATATATATATATATATATAGGCAAAAAAGGGGCGACGAAACTTTCGTGGGAGCGTCTTTACTAAATGTTTTCAGCTGGTGGACCAGCCTTCGTCAGAGTGACGAAGGCTGGTCCACCATCTCTGACGAAGGCTGGTCCACCAGCTGAAACGTTTAGTAAAGACGCTTCCACGAAAGTTTCGTCGCCCCTTTTTTGCCTACAATACGTCGGGTCCAGCGTGAATGACGTTCAAAGCACCTGGTATATATATATATATATATATATATATATATATATATATATATATATATATATATATATATATATATATATATATATATATATATATTATATATATATATATATATATATATATATATATATAACAAAACTCGTGTCTACAAAATAGACGGTACAGTAAAGGCCTTCGGTTTTTTATTTTAGTGCCATGACTTAATCTTAGCTTTCTTGAAAGAAGCATTGTAATTTCTGACTGTTTTTTTATACTTCGCTTTGCTGCGACGAGATTTAAATTGACAGTCAGACAAAAAAAAAAACGTTTTTGCACGAAACTTTGCTGACACGGATGTAGCTGGTATCTCATAAATGCTCCAACATTGCAAAATAACGTTGGACAGGTTCGAATTTCCGGCTGGTGCGTTTAGCATAGAAAAACCCCAAAACAAATACAGAATCTAATAAATAAAAAAAGTTTATGATAAATAAATAGTTTTATATGTTCTGTTCTCGTGATGTGATTTTTAAGTTCCATTTTCTAGAGTTTACACGTTAAATATTTGTTTTTGTTCCCGACGAATTCACTAGTGAAGCAAGGATGGTTATACAACTGCGAACATAGGTGCTCCAGCCCGTAGATTTCTGAAACAAGAGAGCATTTCACTCAGCCTTGGCGAAAAAGCCAGAGTGTCAGCAGCGTTCCCTAAAGTACAAACTTTGCTCTCTACTTGAGGTTCGAGTGGCAGAGAGCGAAGTTTATTCAGGAATGGGGCTCTTTCCTATTCGACGGCTGTTAGCAATGAGTTAAGGCTCGCGCCGCGGTATCTTTGCTCGGTGATGTAAAACAGACTGCATGTATCACGTATCTCTTTTGCACACTCCCCTAGAGGTGACGATGATCCAACAAATGTTTTCCTTCTTTTTCTCTTGTGGTGGCTATTGATCGCCGCATAATAGGAAGGAAAACAACAGGAAGTCTTTGTTATAAGAAAGCTGAAAAGTTATTGCACATAATAGAGAGTGACTGTTTTCCTCAGCGTGTACTAGCTTACTTTGAGTCGGTCCTGTACGAATAAGTATGGCGTAATAATGAACCTGATCTTCTCGTATTTCGACTAGTGTCAATGGCACACATCAAGTGCATGAATGTCGACGCGGCAATAATAAAATTGAGCCTAATGTGAAAGTGCACAAGTGTGTGTAAAAGAAGACAGCTGGATGGAAGGCGCTTACCTATACGTAGGCGATGTAGTCCCCGCGCTGACAATGACGTAGAGTCCGGCTTCAGTGACAGATACAGCGTGCCTTGATTCACCCACTCTGTGCTCTCGATGATCACTCTGCGACTTTACATCCACTCACTCGCCTGTGTATTACGGCACGGTCACCGAGTCTGTAGCCCTCTCTCCAATACTTCCTTACTCTTCTACCTTTTTCTTCTCTCCGTTCCTAGTCGAAGGGCAGCCTGTCGAAGCTGAGGTGAGATCAACTCTTCAGCGGCTGCGTTTCCTCCTATCTGCGAGTGGTTGAGGAAAGATTAGAATGCGGCAGCACTCCCGAAGTTGGCGAGGCTGTGCGAGCTCTGGGTGCTCCTGGGAGGGGCATACCGCGCTTTTTCACAACGCCATCGTGTTCCACCCCCCCCCCCCCGCCTTCGAGGCCAGATCTTAGATGGCCCCAACGAGTGAAGCCTATCGTTCAAGAGAGAGAGAGAGAGACCTTAAGAAACAAAATACTGATCGAATAACTCTTGGCTAGTCGTGTGTTCCAAGGACGATTACGTGTACGCCGCTAGATGGTGCGAGATATCAGCTTTTTCTCTTGACACTGCCTCGTATTTGGCAAGTGCTAACCAACGGTACTTATAGACCTTGGCCTTCTTATGGGATCTATATTCTGCTGTCTGACATCAACACGGCGTTCGTTTCTTCGCAAAATTTCTTTTTCCGCCCAATTTGGGCGTACTCTACTGCTGTATTTAACAAGCACAACAGGCACGTGGCTGCGCGACTAACTTTTAAATCTCTCATTCTTTATCTTTCTGTGATTTTAGAAACAAAGTAGGCCTTCCTTTTATCCTGATAATTACCGTAACGTGATATTCAGAACTGACATTTCAGTGGTTCAATAAAAGAATCGTGAAAGAAATAAAATCTTGAATTTCGTGTTTTCTGAAGGCTGGCTGAATTCACCTACAACAGCACGTTTCTTATGCATTGCCATGGTCATAAAGCTTTTTGTTTGTGTATTGGCTGCCTGTATTGCACTATGCATGACTCGTTGTGGTGGGCAGTGGTTATGGTGCTCAGTGCCGAACCGAGGGTCGCGGGTTTAATCCCGGTTATGACGGTCGTATTTCGACAGAGGCGAAATAGTAGAGGCCCATGTTCTGTGCGATATTAGTTCCCGTTAAAGAACCTCAGGTGGTCAAAATTTACAGAGCCGTCCACTATGGCGTCTCTGATTATCATGTAATTTTGTTTGGACGTTAAGGATTCAAATATTATTATGTGCGATACATATACTCTAGAAGTGGGTACCGTTTATTGTGCTTTTATTCATTGTCATGTTTCCTAACTTTATGTTTTGTTTTGATGGTTAAGCGAGAAGTAATTGCAGTTGCGAGCTTTTTAATGCCTATCCGCTTATTTCATCATCCCAATTAGAGAAAAAAAATTTCACTCTCTTCAAGAAGAAAAACAGACCACCTGGGTATAAATATCAATTGTGTCTTAAGGAAAAACACATTAAGCTTACGCAACCGCATCACTTTCTTCTAGAGAGGATCAAACGGTGCAGTTATACAGGTGTAGATTACTTAAGAGTGATGAAACAGTGCGGAGTGCCGCTACTTTCGCCATATCTAGTACTCTAAAATTTAACTTTGGTACGCGTACAGTGACGCAGTTTGTTGAAACGAGTCATTTTATTCAATGGAGAGAAGAATAAAGTAGATATAACTGACTCACTTTCTTTAAGACGCATTAATACATTGACGGCTATCAAATGCAGCGCTAACATTGAAAACAACTCGTAACAGAGATGAGTCCCATGTTGCAGACAAAGATTATTATGTGAGAGCAGTCTAAATAAACAAGAAACATTCCGAGTTTATACTAAAACATAGTTAAGTAATTAGGTGCCAAGATCATCTTTTAAAGAAGAAGCAAACGAAAAAACACCCAGTACCTAATACGCCTGGCAGGCCAGAAGCAGTCCGCCGCTGCGACAAGAGAACGTCAGGGTGAGCACTCAAAAATGGCACCTACCAGACGAACGGGTTATGTGTAAAACTCCCGAGATAATTGTATTATAAAGTAACAAACAACGTGATGCCTCACTCTACCAAAAGATGTTAACGTGAGTTCACCACCGCTTACAGTTCCTAAATGATAACGAGTACGTTACTAAACATGTTACCGGTGATGATGTTACTTCCAGCGCACTACCGAAGGCGCTGGCCCCACCTGTATAGACTTCAGGAGCAAATTACGATGAATTGACCACCAGGCCCACTGTCAGCAGTTTATTTTAGGAGTGGGGCATTTATTCCAGACCCTGGGAAAAAAAGAATTTCTATATTTATTCACAGGAGAACACCATGCTCCATCTAAATTTCGCGCGGCCACGTTGGTCCAGTGGCTAAGGTATTCGGCTGCTGACCCGCAGGTCGTGGGGTTGAATCTCGGCTACGGCGACAGCATTTTCGATGGAGGTGAAAATGCGGTAGGCCCATGTGCTCAGATTTGGCCGCACGTTAAAGAGCACCGCCGGTTGTCAAAATTTCCGTAGCCCTCCACTTCGGCGTCTCTCATATTGTGAAGTTTACATACCATAATTCCGAGACAGTCAATATTAGAATCCTAAAATTCGTGGCTGATCTGTATTTTTAAGAATTGGATTTATTGTTATGTGGGGTTGACCGCCGCAAAACAACCACGTGATCATGTGAGACGCCGTAGGGGAGGTCTCCGGAAACTTGGACCAACCGGGGTTCTTTAAGGTGCACCAAAATGGGAGCCCGTGGGCCTACAGCATTTTTGTCTGCATAGAAAATGCAGCCGCCACAGCCGGGCTTCGATGCCGCTGAATTCTGGGAATCGGTATACAACGAAAGTGAAACGTGCTTTCACAGATGTAGTTCAGCGTTTATTGTGTATTTTTCCGCCACATGAGTGAAAGAATGAATGCTTTAGCAACAAATGGCAAAGCCACGCGAAGAAGGGCAAGCCACTGGAAACTATCAGCGTGCACCTCAAGCAGAAAGAACGCACAAAATGAGCATACACAGGACGAGCGTGGACAAACAACTGTCAGAAGTCGACACTTAAAGCACGCTGCTCAAACAGAAAGAAGTATGAAACAAATGCACAATTTTATACAGGACAAGTCTGATCAACTGTCACAATTCGTACTTCGTGAGTGACCAACGTGCTCTTTTTGTAAACACATCCGTGGCAGCAAGGAAAGGAACCTTTGACATCTCCCGAATCACGGGTTTTACCGAAACGCAAAAGGCGACAACGTTTAGAGTGCACCCGATCCAGCCAACGTGAACTTGTCGCTTCATCTCACCAGAGTCCCTTAATACCGTTGAAGCATTGAAGGACTCTGATCTCACTAATGTGGAAAATGCTCTGCAAGTTACGGCGCTTTGAGAACCGCCAAGTTCTGTACGGTGTTTATAAATGATTTGCCGTTAACAGGTTTGACTACGTATGCTCCGAGGCTTATTGGTTAGGGCCGTGCGATGCGAATCGTATAAGGTGGATTGTTGATTGTCCCGCGACAGAACCTTTCCTTCTCATTTTCTTTTTTAGTTTCTTATTATATATTTTACAACGTCGTATTTATGATGGAAATCTTGTTTTCTGTGAGCTTTAGAACTTCACTGTAATTAGCCTGAAATTATATATTTAGTTATTCAGAATGCAGTCCTGTTCCATTTTGGCAGAATGAAATCATAGGTTTGAATTGTGTGTACAATTATTTTTTGGTTGCATTCATTCCAGAAAAAATAAGTAATACTTTTGACGTTGTTTGTGGAACGCGACACGTCGAATGACCCGACCCGTCAAACATCGTACTGCCTTCGACAAAGGGCACACTGAGTTGAGATCAAGAAATATTGATTATGCATAAAGTTAAGGTAATTTATTGAGCTATGTATCTCGCTCTTCTTTGACCCCAAGATGACACAACTAGCATGAAAAAGTGGCGGACACAAACATAGCCATCGCCAATGACGGGGATGTACGCGATGCGCAGATGTGCTGTCAACTGCGACCAATTACAGAAACGCCAACTTTTTGTGCTTGTGCAATTGAATAAATACCTTTCTTGCCCGTAGTGGTGCGTCTGATGAGAAGGAAAACATCGGCTTTGAGTTACTTTAGAGACGTTAGATGCAGAAAAATACCGAAGAAATAGGAAAAACAAAAACGCATGTTTTTGTTTCCTTCTGGCACCACGAATGCGCGAAAATTCCTGAAAAATCTCCCACATATTGTACATACTGCAAATGAGAATGCGATGGATTAAAGGCACAGTTACTATAAAGTACATTCAAAGGACAAGCGTGGCTTATCCTACCAGAAACTTTGGTCCAGTACTACTAATGTATCTTTTGTCATGCATGCAATATGCCAATTTACTTGCCTGCGTAAGGTTTCTAACAAGCGTCAGCACAAACCATAGCCCACAGCGATTCTTCAGAGGCCAAATAGCTGCTACAAATGCTTATCTCTGTGTGGAGGAGCTGACCAAAGCAAGATAATCTCGCGTTTTTTGAGGTGTAAAAAGGAAAGCCATGTTATGCGCGAAATACTTTTCCAGTGTTTTCACATAGTTGCTACCGCTAAGAAATGCAAGTATGCACGTAACCTGTAGAACTTTTTTGTTTTGTTTAGACAAACAGCTACAGTGAGCCTTCATAAAAAGGTGGTAATAATATTTTTTCATTCAGCATATTCATCCAAGCACAGTTGTGCACGTGTGTTACGCATCGTGAAAACATGCGGGTATTCAAAAGACGTCTGACCTCACTTTTGTGTGTGTCAAACGTCACGTAAAGGTATACGAAGTCAGTGTTGTATGAATACTGGAACATGCTGTATGAATAAATACACATGATCAGGCTTTTAATTTTTTTATGAGTGCATAAAAACACTCAATCCATAAACATGGGTTTTATGCTCTAGCCCACGTTTCGACAACTGCACTCCTATTTCTTAAGTCTAGACCTTCTAACCTTGAGGACGATAAGCTTACTTGTCCAAACGTCGACACGAGCACACAGCCTCCGTTTGCGGATTTCTTCATGGCAAGCTTCTATCTTCCCCTTCCGGCCGTTAATAAAAATACTAAAGCAGTTAATCTATTTTGTTGCGCAAACGTTAACAAAACTTTGCGTTTCTGAGAGTGAAATGAAAGGGTTTATGAAAAAAATTATGCTCACATCTGTAAACATATTCTTATTCATTTTGGCTTGCAGTTACTGTGGATGTCCCCCCCCCCCCTCCCAACTTCGCCTACCCCTACCTATCGCAATGCCTTTGATGAAAAGTAGGTATCG